TTGTCCTAGATGGGCTGCCTTCCCAGACTGACAAGTCCCACCTACCCGGCCTGCTCCGTCGCCGCATGGGTGATGGTGGCGCCTACTCCTCCTCATGGCATGGGAGTCTGGGATCAGAGTTTTCCTTCTCCTAGATGGGCTGCCTTCCCAGGCTGACGTGGATGATGGCAGCGCTCCACTAGGTCTTCTGTTTAGTACATCTAATTTATTTCTTCTTCTTTTTAAAGAGCAATAAGGAATTCTTAGAAAATAATAAGATTTTTCCAATATATAATATCAAATTTTGCCATTCATTTAGAACAGAACATATCTAAGCAGTAAACTAGCTGCTAAGAAAAAGGAGGAAATCCAGTATTTGTTCTTAATATAGGCCAACCTCAAGTTTCTGAGTGTAATCTTATTAGTCCAAGGAAGAGTCACACACACAAATCCTATCAACTAAAATGCCTATTACTTAATTCTGTAATTAGTATCACCATAGTGATAAAGCCTGTGGTCAAACACATACCCTAAAAGGACCTCGTATACGTCTCTCATTCTAAATGGTACTAATCACAGTCTCCAGTGAGACCAAAAGCAATTAAGAATACAATAAAACACTGAGAGTCTGATGTGTGCATGTGCATGAACACATATATGTGTGAAAAGAGTTAATTAAGTTATATATCTGTTTCTAGCATCATATCCAGAGGATGGCTTTGGGAAATAGATGCATGAGTACTGCCAGCATTGCTGCAGAGGTTGCAGGGGTGGGAGGTCAGCCTGTCAGTGCTCTGATCATACACCTCACACTGCGTCAAACTGGTCTCCAGGGCTGTCGTCCCAGAAGGAAGCCTCTTCTAAAGATGATGCACAAGAAAGCCCGCATACTGTTTGCTGCAGACAAGCATGGATTTCTGGAACCATGTCCTGTGGTCCGATGAGGACAAGATAAACTTATTTGGTTCAGATGGTGTCAACCGTCTGTAGCGGCAACCAGGTGAGGAGTACAAAGACAAGTGTGTTGTGCTTACAGTCAAGCATGGTGGTGGGAGTATCATGGTCTGGGGTTGCATGAGTGCTGCCAGCACTGGGGAGCTACAGTTCTTTGAGGGAACCATGAATGCCAACATGTACTGTGACATACTGAAGCACAACATGATCCCCTCCCTTCAGAGCCTGGGCCACAGGGCAGTATTCCAACATGATAATCACCCCAAGCACACCTCCAAAACGACCACTACCTTGCTAAAGAAGCTGAGGGTAAAGGTGATGGACTGG